CTAAAATTTAAAAAAAAAAAAAAAACACCTACAGAGGACTACTGAAGATCATCTGCTTCTCAGAAGGGAAAAGGAGCCAAGCCAAGCATTCCAACTTATTCTTTGCAAATTCACCAGAGAGGTTGTTGCTTTTTCTAGAAGTTTGTGAACGAGCGAGAGATTCCAGGAATTACTGGTTGAACTACCTTCACATTAAAACATTTTTAAAATATCGAGGACCAGCAGGTGGCATGGTGTTAAAGGCGCTGGACACTCCCACATGGCCAACCACGGTTCAAGTCCTGAACCTGGTGGCTTGCTTTCTCACTTTCTCTCTCTCTCTTTCTCTCTCTCTCTGTGTCTCTTTGGTCACAGGAAAATAAATGAATGAATAAATAAAATAAATAATACTTAAAAAAAAAAAGAAATAGGAATAAAGTTCCCCCGCTCCCCAAACCCCTGTGGAAATCTCAGATCTGCCCTTCTGCTTACCAACAGGGAAAGTTTAAAGAAAAAGGAAACGATCGCAGGGAAAAGCTCCAATCTCCTGACTCTCCAGAAAGGAAACGGATTAAATACTCCAGGGAAACTGACAGGTAAGCCTGAACTTTGTTCAGCCTAGGCCTCAAGGCATGGTGGAAAAACCATCTCTTTTTCCAGTTCCGTAACTGTGTTCTCTCAGGGAGGTGAGGTTTGTTTTCAGGAGCAGGTTCTGCCTGAACTCACCCCAGCCTCTTGGCTCCCTGTCTTTGTAGAGGAAATGTGGAAGACTGGCTGGCTGCTAAAAGCCAGGCTGAAGTGGCATGGTCAAGAACTCTTTTCTCCTTATCAGTAATGCTGCATCCTACTTATGGACCTACTAAGAAGGTCACACATGGGCTGCTTTCTCTAGGTAGCCTCCATTCTCACATACAGGTGCTGAGTAAGTGCGTGGCTGCTGGTAGAGATACCTGATCCCTCACTTCCTGTACTTGTTTCACTCAGATTGTGCCCAAGTCATAGGCCCAGGGTTCCAGAGAATATATTGATGACCCACTGTGTTCAGATACTATGCCAGGTGCAAGAATACTCAGAAGGGGGGCCAACAGGTGGCATGGTGATTAAAGGTGCTGAATTCCCACATGGCCTACCACGGTTCGAGTCTTGGACCTAGCGGCTTGCTTTCTCCCTTTCCCTTTCTCTTTCTCTCTCTCTCTCTGGTCAAATTAAAAAATGATAATAAATGGAATTAAGTAAATAAATAATTAAAAAAAAAAAAAAGAATACTCAGAAGGACAAGACAGTATTATGGTGACTGTCCAAGGATAGAATAGACTTAGGAGATGGTCAGTCCCACAGGGCAGATAGAAATCCAGTGGTAAGGGGGATGCCATTCTAGTTGGCAGGAACTACGTACACCAGGGATGAGAGAGAGCTCTCATGATGCATTCAAGGACGCAGGTTCAAGGAGTTGGATGGGCTGGATGAGGAGCGTTGCTGGGTGGCAGGAGGTAAGGCTGGTCCACCAGCTAGAGCCAGTTCACAGTGTTCGCCCACCTTGAACCCCATGCTATGGCTTCATCCTGACAGCGGTGGGAGTTCATGGCAGAACTTTAAGGAGGGTGCTGATCTAGCTTGGCATTTGGGGGAAAAATCACTGTCTCTGTCCATTATTTGTAGCTAACAGAAGTCTTAAACTGGATGATTTGTAAACAAAATAAAAGCGTAGTAGTTCCATGCTGCGATTTGGGAGTCAGAGTCCACGTGGCCAACTCCAGTTCCAATCCCAGTCTCAGCAGTTTGGAAAACATGCCAGGCACTATACCTATGTCCCGAAGATCCTCATGGGAAGGGGAACTAGAGGCAAAGAATTGTACCATGACCATGCCCCACTAGGGAGTGCTTCTCTGTACCCATCCTCTCCCATCTCTGATGAGCACATGTACACCCTGGCAATTAAAAAGAGAAAAGGATGGGTTAGCAGGTGGTGTAGTTGTTAAGACTGTGGACTCCCACATGGTCAACCATGGTTCTAGTCGTGGACCTGGCAACTTGAAACTCACGCCAGGTACATGTGCATGTATACCCAAAATTCCAAGAGGAGAATGAAGGAGAAGGAATAGACACATTGCCATCCCCCCAAAGGGGTGGTTTCTTGCTTTGTGTCTCTCTTTCTCTCTGTGTCTTTAGTGAATGTGCACACCCTATAGGAAAACATCTTTCTGTAAAAGAAAAAGAAAAAGAAAGGAAATGGAATTTTATTCACAAAACTCAGGTTTAGAGGCCCAGGTTCCAACTTGTGGTGAGGATGCAACATAGCACAGGGCAGGACCTTGAGCATCAGGGCCATGTGTCTGTGTCTCAGTCCCTCTGCTTATACTGGAACTCAGTCACAGGGGCCCTGCCCTGATTACTGTCACACCTAAAGGCTACAGCCCAGTACATCATAAAGGAATTGATTTTACAGTTAACACTCTATGATACGATCAACTCCCAACACATGAACCCTTGGCTTGTATCCATTCACTACCAACTAAGACCTATGGGGGACAAACGATTATCTAAGCCATAACAGCAACTGTGCAAGATGAGTTTGTTTAGAAACTAATGATACAACTTTGACACTGATTCAGATTAGGGATAATGGCTGGCAGAAGGCTGGAGTATGGAAAGGGGAGTGGGTCAGAGGAAGGTTAAATCCACCAGCCATTGTGATCAACTGGTTGTGATCAACTGCTTGTCTAGGGAGAGGGGAAAATCACTGAGGATGCTCAGCCTTCCACTGGGTAGTGGGAGGAGAAGGGGTAGCAAAGGCCTTGAAAGGGGAAAAAGGGTGGCGAGAAGGAGTAGGAATAGGAGAGACTTGGTCCTTATGACAGGAGAGACTTGAACAGGTTTCTGTGTTGAGCAGAAGAACCAGTATCCAGAGGACGTTATGTGGGTGGGGAAAGGGAGATGGTTGACAGTGCACAGTGCAAGGCCTGAGGAGGCGTGACTGGGTCTGGGATGCTCACATTTCAGCTGGTTTGATCAGTCTACCATAAGAGATGTATTTTTGTATCACAGCCCAGTAACCGAGTGTGTGTGTGTGTGACTGAGAAAGAAACCTTCATGCAAAATAATTCCACAACGTGTGCAGGGAACTCCTGATATTTCTATTCTAGTCTGTACTAAAGTGCTAGGATGGGACCACTTAATGTCACAGCCCATTGGGTCATCCTGTGCATTGAAACACAGGGGACTAGGACAAAGGGAAAGGAGTCAGCCACGAGGAGGAAGGGCACCTTTGCCCTGGGACGAGGCTAGGCTGGGGCAAACAGAGATTCTGCCCTGTTTTCTGCTCCCTTCAGAGCACGTTCTCCTGTCCCTCTCTGTGGTCTTCTCTCCTACTCGTCCTTTTCTGAGTGAGTCAGGTGTTCTCCAGACTCTGTCCTCAGTGTTCTTTATTCTTGCTGCTATACCTCCTTGACTTAGGCCGTCTGAGGTTCCCCGGGTCTCAGCCACCACCAGTAGGCTAAGGCCTGTGGCTGCATTTCAAGTCAGTTCTGCTTCCGTTAGCCTCCTGGGCCTGTGCTCTGATGCATCTAAGGCTCCTTGTAGTCACGGTTGACTCATCACTGCATTCCATGCTGTACTCCAGTTCAGCCCTGCTGACTTCCTGTCGTCCTCTTTCAGGGTAGCGTCAGCATAGCATCACTGTCTCCTGGGCCGAGGCAGTCCCTTCCTTTAACTGTCCAGAAAGACAGAAACAGAGAGACAGAAAGCGAGAAATCAGCCCCCCAGGGGATGGCCACGCCTCAATCCCTTCTCCTCCATTCTCCTCTCAGGATCTTGGGCACACACGCACACATGCCCGGCATGAGTTTAAGCCACTGAGTCCAGGACTCGAACTGCTGGTCCCCTGAAATAAATCCTGTGCCTTATTCTCACTCACCTCCAAACTGGACTCCTTACTTCCAGCTTTTGCTCCCTCTATATGTCAGTCCATTTTCTTTCTTTCTTTCTTTCTTTTTTTGGAGAGGTTTTTGCTATAGGGCACGTGCGCTCATCAGACAGAGAGATAGAAAGTGAGAAATCACCCCCCAAGAAGGATGGCCACGCCGCAATACCTTTTCCTCCATTCTCCTCTCGGGATCTTGGACACGCACGCACACGCACCTGGCGTGAGTTTTAAGCCACCGGGTCCAAGACTTGAACTGCGGCCGATTACATGGGAGTCCAGTGACATAGCCATTATGCTAACTGCTGGTCCCAATGTCAGTCCATTTTCTGACCCTACCACCAAAATGGCCATTTTAAACCAGAATCCACTTTTATAACTTGCCTTTTTTGTGAACATATACCTTGCCTAGGGAAGGCCTGGGCTTCACGTTTTCTTTTTCTGAGGGATGAAACTCGGCACCATGATGCAGCTTCATGCTCAAGGCCTGTTAGCTAGTCCCCAACAGTCTCAGTGTCACTGCCTGCCACTCCTCTCCCTAGCAGCTCCTCCTTCTGTCCTCCTTCCTCCAACTCTTTTTCTAGCTCACGAACTCATTTGTTAATACACAAGTCAGATAGAGCTTTCCTTTGAAATTTCTGTGGGGGGCCAGCAGGTGGGCTGGTGGCTAAAGGCGCTGGATTTCCACTTAGCTGACCACGGTTCAAGGCTTAGACCTGGTGGCTTGCTTTCTCGCGTTCCCTTTTTCTCTTTCTATATTTCTCGCTAGTCAAATCTAAATAATAATAATAATAACAACAAATGGAATTAAATAAATAATTCTATAAAATAAAGAAATTTCTGTCTTATTTAATCTTTTTTAAAATTCTTTTTAAACTCTTTTTTTTCTTGGAGAAGTTTTTGCTGTAGGACACGTGTGCTCACCAGAAAGCAGAGAAAGAAAGCGAGAAATCCCCCCCGGGGAGATGACCACACTGCAGTCCCTTCTCCATTCTCCTCTCGGGATCTTGGGCACGCACGCACACGCACCCGGTGTGAGTTTAAGCCACTGGGTCTGGGACTCGAACCACGGTCAACTACATGGGAGCCCAGAGACATAGCCATTACGCCAAATGCTGGTCCCATAAAAATTTATTTATTTATTTATTTGTTTGTTTGTTTGTTTGTTGTGACCCTTTTTAAGAATTATTTTTTATTTAACTTTTTATTTATTATCATTATTATTATTTTCCAGTTTGATCCGAGAGAGAGAGAAAGGAAGGCAAGGAAAGTGAGAAAGCGAACTACTAAGTCTGGGACTTGAACTGTGGTCAGCCATGTGGGAGTCCAGCATCTTTAACCACCACACCACCTGCCAGTCCCTGTTTATTGTGATTTTTAAGCCATCAGGTTCATGACTCAAGTTGCAGTCAGCCATATGTGAATCCAGGGCCCCAACCACCATGCCACCTACTGGCCCCAAGTTCTGTCATATTTTAAGATGTCCCTTCTGGGTTTTCAGTCCCTCTACTGTATTTCCGTAGCAGATACCCACTGTTGCCACATCCATGATTGAGCTTGTCCATGTTCTATAAGCATCTGTTGACGTAGGACATATCCTCAGAGCAAAGCCTGGTGCATAGATAGCAGGCACTCAGAGGTATTTTCTAATATGCTTTATAGAAGGCAAATACGAATCAAGGGGACAGAGGCTTTTGTTAGGCTCACAAGCAGGTCTCCTTGAAAGTGATGGTGTCTAAGTAGGTCTGCTTCTTTTGCAGCGATCGTAAGCCTGTTGATGAAGATACTGATACTAGCAGCAAAGGAGGCTGTGTGCAGCAGGCCCCTGGCTGGAGGAAAGGGGCAGGCCTGGGATATGGACATCCTGGACTGGCTTCATCAGAGGAGGTGAAGTAGTCTCCATCTTGTTGGGTGAAATGAACCTGGAGTGTACTGTACTCTCTCACTCTCTGGCTTGGAGTTGTGTCCTTGCCTTTTACCTGGGCTTTCTCCACCACTAGCACAGGACACTGGAGCTGAGGAAGCCACTGGTCTCGATTACAGGGATATAGCTTGGCAAGCTGGGTTGCTGGTGGGAAGTGGCTGGAGAAGTTGGAATGGGGTTCATTGCGTTTTGATAAGGAATAAGCCATGGAGTGGTATAGGAATTAGGGAATTTGAGACTTAAGAATCGTTCAATTAAAAGAACTAGAAACCAGCAATGAAAGGTACAGAGGTGTACCTAAGTGGAATTGTCAGCAGAGGTCTTTGATGGCCATACTTGGGACCATCAGGTTAGTCCTCGTTTCTGTGAAGGACTTTGTCCCTCATGTTTCAGAAATCATCTCTAGGGACCAGCAGTTAGCGCAATGGCTGTGTCGCTGGACTCCCATGTAGTCGGACGTGTTTCGAGTCCCAGACCCGGTGGCTTAAACTCACGCCGGGCGCATGTGTGTGCGTGCCCAAGATCCCGAGAGGAGAATGGAGGAGAAGGGATTGCAGCATGGCCATCCCCCCCTGGGGGGGTGATTTCTCACTTTCTGTTTCTCTGTCTCTGTCTTTTTGGCAAGTGCACGCATCCTATGGCAAAAACCTCTCCCAAAAAAGAAAAAAACAAACAAACAAAGCACCTCTATAAAAGATGGTAAAAAAGAACATTGCCCATTTTGTTTTGGCCTGGTTCCCTAAGAAAATATCCACCTTAAGAGATTGGTTTATCTCTTCCCTCCAGAGCTTCTCATATCTAGTATTGAGGCCTAAATCCCGCAGTCATGGAATCACCATGGGAGCTTATTTAATGATGGAGGTTTCTATTTTAAATGCTCCTATGGGGCTGGATGGTGGTGCAGTGGTAAAATACGACATTGCAAGGCCATCCCACATGCGAAGGTTCCAGGTTTATGTCCAGAGATCTCCCTGAACATGCCCGTAATCTGGGCTGATTGAAGCTGGGGTGGATTGTAGCATCAAGACCATCTTGGGGGTATTTTCTCTCTTTCTCTACCTTTCTCTTTTACTCATAGAAAAACTAAGTAAACCTAAACGAAAAAATTATCCTATCCTATATTCTCTGCTCCTTAGTGACCCAGAACTGCTTGTGGTCAGAGACCAGAGGCAACTAATTCATAGGGCCCACTTGACGGTTTTTCTTTGCTTCACAGACCGAAGGTCGGATGAGGAGCCCCAACACCGGGGCCCCAGGAAGAACCAGCAAGAGACAGTCCAACGAAACCTACCGAGACGCTGTGCGAAGAGTCATGTTTGCTCGGTATAAAGAACTCGATTAAGAGTGGAGACAAGTCCCACAGGACATGATCTCCTTGTTTTGTCTCTGTCTCTCCTCTTGTTTTGTTACTGTTCTTGCTGCTAGAACTTTTTTAAATAAACTTTTTTTCAATGTGATTATTTTTTCTTGCATTTTTCAAAGATGGATGGTGGGGGTAGGCCTCATGGCAGGAGGGAGAGAATGCCTTGGTTGAGTCCCTCTGAGGTGATGTCAAAATGGCCACTAGGGCCTAGGCGAGCCCTGGAACACTGCCTGCTGTCTGGGAGTTAGTGGGTACAGTGACCTTTGAACCACAACTTGAATGATTGCTGTCAGATTTTTAAATTTATTTTCTTAATCTCATCAGTGAAACAGCCTACCAATATTTAATTCTATGTTTTGGTGATTGCTGGGGCTGGACATATTCTGTATGTTGGCCTACTGCTTGTTAGACCTTCAGAAGTCCTCTTCTGAATTCTGCATTGTTATGGGATAGAGGACAGTGTGACAGCTGCTTTTCTGAGTGTCTACGGGGTGCTCACTGCATCACACTTTGTGATCCAAGCCACAGAGTGAGCGTAGTATCACTACTCCTGGGCAACTGCTGCTTTGGCTAGTCCTCCTCCCGTAGCTAACTCTTCAGCAGCGGTGTCTGCTCTTTCAAATCATTAATGTCCCCATTGTGATTCTTACCATCCCACAGGATTTGCTTTAGTAGATTAGGGCCAGCAGGTGGCATGGTGGTTAAGGTGTTGGACTCTCACATGCCCAACCATGATTCAAGTCTTGGACCCAGTGACTTGAAACTCAAAATCCCAAGAACAGTGAAGGAGAAGGGATTGAGACATGCCCATCCCCTGGGGGAGGATATCCCATTTTTCCTTTCTTTTTTTTTTTTTTTCTTTTTTTAATTTAAAATTTTAAATAGTAAAATTTTATAGGACGCATGCACTTGCCAGAAAGACAGAGAGAGACAATGAGATAGAAAGCAAGAAATCACCCCCCAGGGGAGATGACCACACCGCAATCCCTTTTCCTCCATTCTCCTCTTGGGCTCTTGGGCACGCACGCACATACGCCCAGCGTGAGTTTAAGTCACCGGGTCCGGGACTCGAACCACAGGCAACTACATGGGAGTCCAGCGACATAACCATTATGCTAACTGCTGGTCTCCTCCTTTCTTTTTTTGTTTTTTTTTTTAAACAAACCAAGGCAATTTTATTACATAAATTAACCCATTTATTGTAGGCTAGTGATATTCCAAATGTCTATGGAGCTTCTACTGGTTTTTCAATTCCTTCAGTCTTCTGATGGCAGACTTCACTGTGACAGCCGGAGTGGAGGTGTAGGGCCCGGGACCCCCGCTACCGTTTTCATGCAGGAACCTCAGTGCCAGATCCCCACAGCCTGTCTCTTCATCTTAGTTTTGCCACAGAAGGGGCAGGTGTACTTGGCATGCTGGCTGATTTCAATTTTCTTCACCATTTTCTGGAGGGAGGCACCATAGCGGTCCCGTATTTACCGACAATGCCGACCTTCTTGGTGCATTTAGCCATACCGCCGCCAACTAGGTCCGAGCCCAGAGAGCCTCTCCTTTCTTTCTTAGTGCATGGCGTGGTGGCGAAGGTGCTGTGCTGGCCACATGGCCAACTCTGTGGTTTGAATCCCAGACCCGGTGGCTTGAAAATTTTTTATCAGATTCCATCCATCTCTGACAAAAGTTATTTTAGTTTCTTGGTACAAGCAAGAGTTCTTTCATGGATCTTTTTATCTTCTAGAGCATTAGTTCTCAGCCTGACACCAAAATATGTGAACCAGGTTTTTATTTTGCCAAGTTATGAAAGTTTTGTTTTGTTTTGTTTTATGAACTGTGATGAGGGGCCGGCAAGTGGCATGGTGGTTAAAGGCGCTGGACTCCCACATCATTCAAGTCTCGGACCTGGTGGCTTGCTTCCTCACTTCCTCTCTCTTGTCTCTATCTGACCAAACTGAAAAATAATAATGATAATAATAATACATTTTTTTAAAAAGTTAAATAAAAAAAAAATTCTAAAGAAAAAGAACTGTGATGGCAGAAGGTAAGACCAACAGGTGACATGGTGGTTAAGGCCCTGGACTCATATCTGGGACTCAACCTTGGTTTGAGTCCCAGATCTGGCAACTTGAATATCATGTTGAGTGTGTATATGTGTGTGTGTGTGTGTGTGTGTGTGTGTGTGTACGTGTACCCAAAATCCTGAGAAGGAGAATGGAGGAGAAGAGATTACAACATGGTCATTCCCCCCAGGGGTGTTGATCTCTCACTCTTCCTTTCTCTGTCTCTGACAAGAGCATGCACCCTATGGGGAAAACCTTAAAAATATATAAATAAAACTGATGGGGTGAGTAGGTGGCATGGAGGTGGTGATGCTGGACCCCATGTGGCCAACTATGCAGTTCGAGACCCAGATCTGGCAGCTTCAAATAAACATTGGTGCATTTGTGTGTGTGCCCAAAATCCTTCGAGGAAAATAAGAGAAGGGATTACAGCACAGCCATCCACCCTGGGGGGAGAGTTCTCAGTCTGCTTCTCCCCAGTGTACTACAGAGAAAACAACAAAGAACTCTGCCCATTTCATTAGAGATAAGCTTTTGTGCAAAGGTCCAAAAAGTAGGAAAGACAATCTTGAAGGACGCTCGTTTATTGAGCATTTATTGAACACACAGTAGCTTTATTCAAAAACAAAGACAAGTCACTCTGTTTTGTTTTTCTTACATTAGCTACCAGACGGGCTGTCAGGGCGTAGCTCAAGCTCAACAGGGCAGGGCAGCTACCAAAACCACTCAGAGGAGGGTGATCACCTCGGGATGGGATTGTTTTTTTCCTAGGAACTCACTCCAAGGTTAAGAATGATTTGATTTTGTGTAATTTATTAACAGCCATAGCTGTTGTGAGTGTGTATTTGGACTAGACGATGACGATGTCATCCCCCCAGGGTGGTGCTTTGCCCCTCTCTCCCCACCTTTACCTCCATTGTTTCTGGTGAACACAGGCATCCTATAGCAAATTAATAATAATAATTAAGGGACAGGCACTGGTAGTTAGCATAATGGCTTTGTCGCTGAACTCCCATGTAGTCGACCACGGTTCGAGTCCCGGACCTGATGGCTTAAACTCACACCAGGCGCATGTGTGTGTGTGCCCAAGATCCTGAGAGGAAAATGGAGGAGAAGAGAGTGCAGCATGGACATCCTCCCTGGGGGGTGATTTCTCGCTTTCTGACTGTCTCTGTCTTTCTGGCGAGCGCATGTACCCTATAGCAAAAACCTCTCCTCCCCCCAAAAAAGAAAAATATAATAATATTAAGGGACCAGCAGGTAGCATGGTGGTTAATGCACTGGACTCCCACATGGCTGACACCACGGTTCAAGTCCTAGATCAGTGGCTTGCTTTCTCACTTTGCCTCTCTCTCTCCTCTCTCTCTCTCTCTCTCTCTGGTCAAATTAAAAAGTAATCATAATAAATAAGATTGAATAAATAATTAGTTTTAATAATAATTTTAAAATTTTACATACATTTCCCAATTGGACACTACAAGACAGATGAAAGTGTGGAAATACATAGATGAGAAGGTAGGAATACACATAGGGAGTGTGTGTGTGTGCATGTGTGTATTTTTATATATGAGGGATCTTAAAGTTTGCGGAAAATACTTGTTAGAAATAACACAATGGGGGGGGGGGCGCAGGTAGCATGGTGGTTAAGGGCACTGGACTCCAACATGGCCAACTGTGATTTGAGTCCCAGACCTGGCGGCTTGCTTTCTCACTTTCTATTTCGCCCCCTCTCTCTCTCTGTCCTTCTCTGGTCAAATTAAAATAAATAGATAAATAGATAAGTACATTTAATAAAATAACTCTTTTTAAAAAAGAAAGAACACTACAGGGCCTGGTGCTGTAGTGCACCAACTAAGCCATTTGCAGAGAAAACCAGATCCCACATGGCCATCCAGGGTTAGAGACCTGACCCCTGCAGTTTGAAAATCATGACAGTAGTGTGTGTGTTTGTGTACCCAGGATACTGACAAGATGGAGAACTGGAGGGAAAAGATTGTGCTATGACCTGGCCCCATTGGAAGTTCTCCTTCTCTTTTTCTGTACTTTAAAAAAGAAAAATCTAGGGGACCACAGGTGGCATGGTGGTTGAGGCACTGGACACTCCCACGTGGTAGACCACAGTTTGAGTCCCAGACCTGGTGGCTTGCTTTCTTACTTTATCTCTCTCTGTCTCTCTCTGGCTAAGTTTAAAAAAACAAATGAATGAATAAAGAAAATTAAATAATTATTGGAAAAAAGTCAATGTATTTATTTTTAATTTTTTTGTACCGAAATAAACTCATACTTCGATTCCATCTTTCCACAAACTTTTTGAAATCCTCTCCCATATATATGGAGGGGGAGAGAGTTACCCATATTTTGAAAGTCTAGAGGTTCTTTTAAGAATTATTTAATTTTAATTTACTATAGGACACATGTGATCCCAGAGAGAGAGAGAGAGAAAATGAGAAAGCAAACAGCCAGGTCTAGGACTCCCACTGTGGTCAGCTATGTGGGAGTCCAGCAACCTAATTACCATGCTACTGCCAGCCCCCCACTTTTTTCTCTTTCTCTTTTTTTTTTTTTTTTTTTTTTTTTTGTTTTTTTTT